TTTTATCTTTGACTTGGTATGAAATGCATGAATATTAATATCGATATCAGATTTTCATTTTATTAATATTTATATAATAAGAAAGTTACATGTATCATTCAACTTTGTTAAAGAACAAAACTTTAGATATATTTTTCACCAGGTAATTCATGTATCGATCTTTTTCTTATCTCCTTTATTTATATATATATATATATATATATATATATATATATATATATATATTCAATACTAAAAATCATACAATATTAATTCACCTTTTCTTCTCAACATGTAATCATTATCTATCTATGCTTTTTTTTTATAACACACCTCCATCATAACATCCTCATTATGTTGCTTAAACTACTTTTTTTTTAGTTTACTTAAATGAACTTCTTCATAAATACTTTTAGAATTTTCATCTAACTCCTTAAACTTTGTTTTATGCAACAACGTCCAAATTGAGCATAATTGTTTGCTATAATGGACACAAAATTTCCAACAAAAAAACTAAAATCTAATGCTAACACCAAATATTCTTCATTGAAATGAAGAGAAACTTGAATTTTTTTACATTTAAATTTGATAGAAAGAAAAAAAATAGCAAACGAATTTTGTTTATTTTATAAGAAAATAAAAATCCTTGTCTAACAGAGAGATATGATTTTTTTATTGAAAAGAAAAATCCTTAACTAACAGAGAGATGTGAAGTTACTTATTTTAAAGAAAGTAACTATAATAGGAAATATTTGACATTTATTTAATGGTTATAAATTACTAAAATTTTATGCTTTTAAGGGAAAAAAATGATAATATTCCATGCAAAAAATTTGTATGTGTCAAAGTATTATATATTGTATCGAGAAGGGTTATAACTTTATGCAGAAAATAAGCCAGCACATCACTGGTAATCAGAAAGTAATGATAGGAGGAAATATTTTACATTTATTTAATGGTTATAAATTAGTAAAATTTTATGTTTTTAAGGAAAAAAAGATAATATATTCCATGAATGCAAAAAAATTGTATAGATTAATTTTGTTTTTCTCTTATATATGATAGATGCTGTTATAGATTAATTTGTTTAAAAATTAAATTTAATACAATCCAAAATTTTTATTTCATGACAAAGTAGACACTCAATTTTCATGATAAAATAAAGGTATAATATCTATTTTGGTTCCAATTATGGTTGAAAATGTTCCTTTCAATTTTTTTTGCTGTTTAATGTTGTCCTAAAAAATGTAATTTATATTCAATTTGGTTCTTTTTACAAAAGTCGTTTAATTTAAACGCCAGATGTTCAGATATGCAATTACAGAGTAAAATCGTTGACACATCATCATCTTCTCCATAAAAACCCTAGTTTCCTAACCTAGCCAATGTCACAGGCCGTCAGCCACATTGTGTCGTCACCATGAAACTGTGCCGTCACTAGACAACCACCAAACCCCAGCATCGGACCACCACCCATCATCTTCACCAGCATCGCCGCCGATAGTCACCACCGTCACCAATACAGAACAGGAAAGTCGCGAGTCCTCCATCATCATCTTTAGCGTCTTCCTCGACTTCCATCTCCACCATGAAACCCTTATCAGGCTGCCATTCTCCACCACCATCAAACTCACTGTCAGCCGCGAGGTCCTCCACCAGATAGCGATTTCATCTTCTCCATCCACAATCACCAAACCTGCAATTAGAAAAACAACAAATCCAACAACCATCGTGAATCCTCCATTGACGCACAAACCCAGAACGCAAAAACGTGAAACAAAATCGCGTGTTCTCCGTTCACCTCCTGCAAATCATTCCCAAAAATCAGATTGAAGCGATCATTCTTGCAAGCACCATCGCGCTGCCATGAGCCGCCGCGAATAAAAGGGGCAAGATCCTATCTTCGTTTCTTCTCGCTGCGCATAAGAAAGCTTTCCCTTACACCTCCTTTGCATCAAAAACCCTGCAATCATAAGCACACATCTGCAACAGAAAAACTCTTTCTTCGTCTCTGATCGCGCAACACCAAGAAACGGCGTTTACAAAAATACCAAATTGAATACAAGACTAATTAAACAGCAAAAAAAATTGAAACCATTTCGAATTCCAACCAAAATAGGTATCATACCTAAAATAAAATAACAAATAATTATAATATGAATAGTATGTTAGTGTCAAATTACATCAAAGAATATAAATTACAAAAGATATACATAAATACATAAATTCATAAAAGTGAAAAGTTGCAAAAGTGAAATTCTTAAATAATTATTAACACTACTATGATAAATTATACATTTTATTAAAGATGTAAATAGAAATTTTCCGCTTTAATTTAAAATCTTAACAAAAAATTCTAAACTTATATATATCAATCAACCATGTGTTCATCTTTAATAAATTTATCATTTAACAAGTATTAATACTTATAAAAGTACCTCTCTTAAATTTTTCCATAATCCAAAATTTCTAATGACGATGTCTTTTTAATGTCTTCAAATTACACTGATTATTTGATTTCCAAACAGCCAATCTTTACCTCAAGGTTTTAGAAATATACAATTTTTAAAAAATGAAATATAGTATATATTTTTATTTATTTTTTAAAATCTTAACTGTCTCATCCTTTAGCTATTCTATCAGCATATTAGTCTCTTGACTTCTTTAACCAAAACAAAGATGGCTTGTCTATGATTTTGGCATATTTTATTTTTTAATGTTCATCAGATACATGCTTTAGATTGTGTTAGAATTAAAAAATAATGACTGAATAATTAAGTGTGTACAACTATTGAATTTTATTCTAATGAAAAAATCAATAATAAAAACTAAAAAAAGTTGAAACTTTGTAGAATATATATCATCTGATTCATGTTGTCGTTGTCAGAAATTGAAATAATCACACAGATATATATCAGAAGATTGCTAAAGATGTCTCCAAAGTATAAAGTAGTAATCCTAAAAAAACAGAACACATGATAGATAGGTAAAACTTTGAAATTATTATAAAATAATTTAACACATAACACGTGATAAAAATGTTCACGTTAATGCAAAAGAAAACAAATTAAGGTGATCCTATAAATTAAAATTGCATCCTTTTAAATTATTTTAATATTTTAAGTTGACTCCATTTACAAATAACAAATTCAAGTTATTTAAAAAGAACAAATCTTAAAACATCAAAACATATACAAAAATATTTCTTACACGTTATTATTTATATTTTGAACATGTGAAAGAAGATGAGATATGGTTGAACATTTAAAAAAAAAACATAAGATGTTTACTTTATAATACAAACGTGCATATGACTACAAATTAGCCCAATCCATCATAAGTTAAACACAATCTATGATATATTAAAAATAGTGTTTTTCATGAGTAATATTTTATAATATAAAATTAGAGGAATATTTTCTGAATTGTGTTCAGACTTCACATAGAGTTTATATTTGTCCTTCATATTAATCTTTAAACCTTTTTCTATCAAATTTTCAAGAATTGTCAAAATACTATTATTATATTTTTTATATTTGACACGTCTTCTTCTTCTCATTTTTTTAAAAAGTAAGACAAGTAATAGAAAATACTCAATCTTGCTGCAAAACACATATCATATTGTGTTTCTTAATTGACAACTATTTGAATGCACACATATCATATTGTGTCTTGTTGTCGTGTTTCTTTATAATAATGTTATAATATATGATGATATCATAGATATTTTGCTAGAAGATATGGTCCAGGGACATATTATATTGAGAACAACTTTGAACCTCATATCAACTATTAAATTGACACCATTAATTTTGAGTTTATAAATAACTTATTTTAATAATTTTTTCTGTCTTATACTATCAGCATTTTACATTATTTTTTTATAGGACAAAAAATACAATATGGTTCTTTTTCATGCTATAAGGCTTATCTCTATTTCTTCTAAATTATCATGTATAAATAAGATAAAAAAATATAAATTTGGTTTTTGAGAGAGAGAGAGAGGAAACCACAATTTTTGTTAGCATTTTGTATATTTCAATATATATGCACAAAAATCTATATTTTGAATTTAAATATTTTCTTTTACAAATACTTCTCTAATGTTTTTTTTTCTTAAGTTTGAAATCTGTCTTAATGTAGAGATTTTTCATCAAATTTCTTTAAATTTTGTTTTATATAACAAAATATTTTTTTCTTTATTATTTTGTTGTTCGAAATTGAGCATAATTGTTTGTTATATTAGAGATAAAATTATGAAAAATAAAAATTGAATTCTAATGCTAAAACCTAATATTTTTCAACCAAATAGTGAGGAACTTGAATTATTTTCATTTAAATTTGATGAAAGAAAAATAGCAAATCAATTTTGTCCATTTTATAAGAAAAAAATCATTATCTGATAGAGAGATACGAGTTATTCTAAGGAGGGTGGGAACATATCAAAAGAAACAAAACAAAGCATGAAACACGTGCCATGCCCTTCTCTTTTAATTTCTTTCACAATTATTACAGAACCGGACACATGCGTCAAATCCTAAAGTGTGATAACAATATTAAATACAAAAATAAAATTCTAAAAACCAATTAATAATTTTGATTTGACTTTAAATTTTTAGATTAGGTAATGTAAAGAGTTTTTAGAATAAAAATAGTCATTTAAAAATTATATTTATTATGATTTTTTATTAACTAGTGGATTTTGAAATTATTTAGCCTTGCCAGCCAATTAAAAGTAAGTATAAGTTAATCACTTAGCATTTATAGCATTCTATAGTTGGATTCTATTCAATGAATTAAAATTAAATTCTTTATTTAGGAACTACTTTTAGGGTTTTTTAATATTTTAATAACTATTTGGAATTACTGACGTAATTAGTCTTATTTGTTATTTTATTTTTAAACATTTTCTAAGACCTCGTCATATTTGTCAGATCATCCATTGGGAGTTTGTGTTGATCCTTTACAATTATTATATTAGTAGATTTTTCTGGATAAAAATTTAAATACTAAATCTGAGGTTGTTTTGTTTGTGCTGTTCCTTTTAGTGTCTGTACAAATATTTGAAGTCACTATTGCTTTGCTGTTCTTCATTTTTTCTCTCAGCTATGGAGGAGAATTCTGCTGAGGAACACCATTATTACTACCCTCTTCCTGCTTCTGCTCCCAAAGCTGATTCCAACCTCAGTGATGCTGAGAAGGGAGGAACTTGTGCAGAGGAAAATAGCCTTCACAACAAGCCCAGCACATCACAGAGTAATAATCCTGCCATCAACAAATATGCTCTTGGTGGTGCTATCTTGGCTTCCACAAACTCCATTCTCTTAGGCTATGGTGAGTTTCACAAAATCATGTTAAAAGAATCAAATGCTTAAATATAATCTATTGCATTGCTGCTACCATTTCCCAGATCAAAGCCCCAACCAATGGCAATATTTCAAACACATTGTTTCTGAATGTTCTTGATTGGGAGGCAGAGTTTTGTTTAAGTTATTTGATTAACAAAAGTTGTTACTAATCTGTCTAGTAAAGACTCCCATTGTATGCCAAAATGGATCATCAAAATGAAATTTCAATTCTGGTTGAAGAACTGTGCAAAAAATAATGAAAGATTGAATTTGAGTATTGCTGTTCATGACCACATAAAGTTGAGGAATTTGATTACTAGTTTTATGATTGTTGATGCAATTAGGCAAAACTGCATTTGAAAGTACTTAGTATTCATATTTTTGGTGCTTGCAGATATTGGGGTCATGAGTGGTGCTGCATTATTTATCAGGCAAGATCTCAAGATCACATCAGTCCAAGTGGAAATCCTTGTTGGGTGCTTAAATGTGTGTTCTCTAATTGGGTCTCTTGCTTCAGGCAAGACTTCAGATTTGATTGGGAGGAGGTATACTATAATGATTGCTGCAGCAACATTCATGATTGGTGCTATTCTGATGGGGTTAGCTCCTTCATTCCTATTCCTAATGGTAGGTCGTGTAGTTGCTGGCATTGGTGTTGGTTACTCCCTCATGATTTCACCAGTGTATGTGGCTGAGCTCTCTCCTGCCCTCACCAGAGGACTTCTCACATCACTCCCTGAAGTCTTCATTAGTGTTGGCATTTTACTTGGTTATGTCTCTAACTATACATTTTCAAGCCTCCCTAATGACATAAATTGGAGAATCATGCTTGGTGTTGCGGTCTTCCCAGCTTTTGCTGTGGCACTTGGTGTGTTGGCAATGCCTGAATCACCTCGCTGGCTAGTAGTGAAGGGAAGATATGAGGAAGCAAAACAGGTTTTGATTAGAACATCAGAGAATAAAGGAGAAGCTGAATTGAGGCTTGCTGAGATACAAGAAGCTGCTTCTGCTTCCATCACAGGCAAGGACAAAGGATGTTCTTCTTCTGATTCTCCCAATAATTCAGGAACTTGGCATGGACAAGGAGTTTGGAAGGAGTTACTTGTCACACCTACTCGCCCTGTGTTTAGAATCCTTGTTGCTGCCATTGGTGTTAACTTCTTCATGCAGGCTTCTGGGAATGATGCTGTGATATATTACAGCCCTGAAGTGTTTAAGGAAGCTGGGATTGTGAATGAGAAGCAGCTTGTGGGCGTTACAATCATCATGGGAATAACCAAGACATGCTTTGTTTTGATTTCAGCCATGTTCATGGACCGGTTTGGGCGAAGACCCATGTTGATGTTGGGCTCATGTGGCATGGCAATGTCTTTGTTCTTGCTGGGCTTTGGTTGCACATTCCTTAAGCTTTATGGTGACACACATGATGGATTGGTCATTGCCTTGTGTGTGGTTGCTGTGTGTGCTACAGTTTCATTCTTTTCTATTGGGCTTGGGCCCACAACTTGGGTGTATTCTTCAGAGATTTTTCCTCTTAGGCTAAGGGCCCAAGGTTCCAGTTTGGCAATTTCTGTGAACCGTGTGGTGAGTGGAATTGTGTCCATGACATTCCTTAGTGTCTCAGAGGCAATAACATTTGGGGGCATGTTCTTTGTGCTTGGTGGGGTGATGGTGTGTGCGACATTCTTTTTTTATTACTTTTTACCAGAGACCAAAGGCAAGAACTTAGAGGAGATTGAAGCTTTGTTTGAAGATCAGACACGTCCTGTCTAGGATTGAGTCTTAGATTAAAAGTTTTGATCTTTGTGTGAATGATCAATTTCTGAAATTGAAGAAAAAATGGTGCTGTTGTCGTACAAGGGACAGACACACAAATGCAATTCTTTTTTTGTTTGTTTCATTGTTTTGCTTGCTAAGGTACAATCTGGTTTATAATTGGATTTGTACATTGGGTGGATTATTGAATAGATACCCTGAAATTATTTTTTCCCAAGAAAAAATGTTTAGAAATTGGAGCTTTCATCTCTTTATTTCATTGGCCATCTATATTAATGATGATATTGTTAAGTTACTTCATAATGTGAGAGACTCTTTGTGGATTTCCTGTAGTATAAGAATGAATAAAACAGCACCCACATTTCAAAACTAGCTATCAGCATATAGCATTTTGAGAGCAAATTCAGAATGATTTCCAATCAGATATTGAATACTTTCTTACCAGGTTTCAGAAGGAAATCATTGATATTGTGGCAACTACCATTGAAAGGCTAATGCATTGGACCATAATTCAGACATAACATCTGATCCATGACCTGATTTCTGTTTCATAAGAGCAAAAAGGGATCCAGATGCCAATCTTGCGGACCCTGTTTTTACAAAAAAGCCCTGTCAAAAGAAAATAGTACAATATGTCACGGGTGTATTTGTATCAATCAAACATTTATGCTTGATATGTTTCTGAAAGAGATTTCTTTCATAAATGCAAATGAATGATAGACAAAACATATTCACATCAAAATTTATCAACCTGCAATTGTTTATTCTTTTTAGAAGAACTGAATGTCTCTTGATGAATATAAAATAGGTAGGAGAGTGATCAATTATGACTGAGAATGGGTGGGCAAAAAAAGAGACATAGAGTGTCATGTGTGTAATGTATGAACATTATCCTTAAGAATCAAACACGGGTATATTTAGATTTTAGATGTTCTTTATTTTCTATGATGCAGACTGGTTCCAAACTCTAGACGCGTGGCCCATTTCCATTAATGTTCAAACTTGGCTTGTAGGCTAGCCTATCTGTTAGTACTCTTATCAGATTTGATGTGTTGTTGCTTAGTCCTGGTCAAATCTTGGCCCAGACAAGTGGGTAGTTGTTCTCCATCTCAATCAACTTCCACTATTAACTGTTTAGTTAATAGTCATGGTTTGTATTTTACTATGTATAGCTCTACAATTAGTCTAGGAAAGTTTCTAATTTCTATCAACAGAAGATGGAACTATTCTATACTTTGCTTAATCGTGTAAATGGATAGCATCACTCAAACAAGAACTCTCATAAGCAATTGTTTGCCTGAGTCTGTGATTAAAGATACTATCACCTTCTGAAATCAGTCAAAACCAAAAGGTTATCAATACCAATAAATGAAGAACTTTTCAAAAAGATGCACACTGAGAACCACCAGTTTTAGCATGAAATAAGAGGATGAGACAAAAAACCATTTGGAACCAAAATCACAGCCTGTGGGACCAAATTCTGTAAGTATAATAGCTGTAATATCAAAACTATTAACCTAATATGCAAGACAACACATGTCCAAGACTAGAAAATAAACAATGAGAAGAATGGCCTAATTGTCAACGCCCTTCATCAAATCCATGACAGAAAAAAGTTAGAAATAAAAGATGTAAACAACAAATTGAAACTCAGAATAATGTGCCATTTTGTTTTGACCAATCTTTCAAGGTGTATCATTTAAGGTTTATTTATTTTCATTTTCAAGATTTGAATTTGTAGAAAGAAAATTAACCTCTGTTCTTTAGACTAAAAAAAATACTACTTGCATATGAGTAAAAAACATCAACTACTTCTGGAAAGAATTTCAGTAACTTACAGATAAACATGTTGAATGATTTCTATGTTTATGATATTATAAAAGCTTTTCTGATTTTTTTATGTATGAGACATAAATAACTACTTCATGACTTAAAAGAAGAAATCGCGTGTAACATAGCAAAAGGGTGTTTATAAAAACATCAGTGATTCTTATCAGCAATGAAGAACTTTCTATTATTTCAACAAGAGAAACACAAATCGGTTCTGTGGTCATGCGTCAAAGCTTATTAAATGAAAGCAATAAATATCTCCTACTTTTGGATGAATACAACGTGTCTTTTTAGACTTTATTCAGATGTGTAAATAACGAGTAAAACAAAACAAAATGAATAAAGTTATCATTTTATTAATAAACTATTTTATAATGAAACATAATTATTTTTGTTCTGTTATTTAAGAGCAGGATAGAATGGTAAAAAATATAATTTTATTCTGAATATCTGATTAGTTATCACTGATACATGTATAGTTTAATTAACTTATAGTTACATAATGATAATTATTAAGACTTGACGTAAGAAGAAATTACACAACATAAAAACAAACAAATCTTATGTTTATTTAATCATTGTTATCCAAGTTTTGGCCAAATAAGAATAACTAAAAACATCAAAACATAAGGTCTGACAGCAATATAAAGTTTTGCAGCAACTGAATAACTGAGTTCTGATATTTAAATGACACCTGTGAACAGTGATTTCATAAAGACAAGAGAAAAATAAATGAAAAAAGAATAACAGTACACATGCAGTTGTTTGGCATGGAAGATAATTGATTTTGACATGACCATGGCACCAATTTTTTCTTCCATTATTACATTTTAACTCCACATTAGAATTACTTGCTTCAGTGTGTGTATATATAATTAACTCATTCACATGACCACATGGAACTACCCACCCACCAACACCTACATCAGTACTCCTTAATGCATATGAATAAATCATGAGTTATATTATTTTTGTTCATAAATTTTCTATATTATTTGTTTACTTTTCTTTTATTCTTATCTGTGACAAAAAGTTATAGCAAATATGTACAAGAATAGAATGTGTTTGGAGTAATTAATGTTTTTTCATGACTTTCTCTTGAAACTTGAAATTCACCTGATATGCAGTGAAAATACATTGATGTACTAATCTGAGGTCATTGTACACACTACACACAGTCACGTGTAGTAAGACACTGACCTTTCAAGAAAGCAATCTGCATAAAAGAAATTTGTAGCCAAGCAAGGTATTTCTTTTTTTTCTTTCCCTTGTAATGTTGTATTCAGACTCAGCAGAATCCAACTTGTCAAAACAAAAGTGCTAGCTAAATACACCTTGCAGAGGTGTACTAATTTCAATACGTATCTTTTTGCTCAAAGTAGGTACCCTCTTTGAGATTGTTTTCAACATAACAAGAACTATTTAAAGGGTGTTGATTTTTGGTAAAGTGTTATTTCACACACACATATATGGACTCAAAGATGGAGTTTGTGATGAACCATATTAGAGCATGTTACTTATTTGAATATGAAGCATGGTGAATTAAGACAAACAATGATGTGATTAGTGATTAGAGATTAGGAGAAAAGATGCCATAAAATGTAGGAGCAGAACTGTTGAGGAAAGGTCCAATTCAACAACCACCATCTCCTTTCATTTTCTCAAGGAGGCTCATACCAACTCCACCATCAAAAGTAAAGGCAACGAAACTTACAAAACTTGTTTATAATGAAAAAGGGTCACTATCTTCCAAGTTTGGAGATTGTAGGGCCCAGTTAGGAGGCAGAACAAGAAAATGAGACAACACAAGAGAGAGTCTCAAGAAGACAAAGGGAGAACAACAAAAAGCAAAGGAAAGAAAAGGGAAAACCTCAAATGCATTCATCTTCCAAAAGGAAAAACTAAAGTCTCTTTAATGGCTCCTCTCCTTGTGTCAACTTTATAGAGAAATCTTCACTGAGATCATCACCTAAAAAGAGATACATTTACAGATTCTCACACACAACTTTGTGTTCCTTATCTGCATCAGAAGGTACCAACCAGAAGATCTCATTTATAGTTAATTATATACATACTGGAAGTAGTAGTAGAGGTAGTACTACTACTACTACTACCCTTGCCATCACCAATGTTGCTGAGTTCCATTTCCAGCACCAAGAAGTTCTTTCAAAAGACCATAAAGAACTTCAAGTCTTTCTTCTCCCCGGGTTACCAAAGGCTTCCAAAAACTTCTCCTCACGGCCATTTCTCTTATTCTGTGGCTGCATCAAGTGCCATGGACATGACCAGCAACACAAGTTATCAAGACACGGAGAAACTGTACACTGACTTCTCAGACCAATGGGAATCAGAAACGGAGAAAACAAGAAGAATGAAGAAGAAAGCTGTACCTGCATTGCCATCAAAGCAAGAAAGTGAGGTCTATAGTGGAAGCTATATCAGCTTGTCCAATGCAAGCCAAGCTCAGAAGAAGAACAAGATGGAGAAAAAAGAAGAAAGTGGTGGTGCCAAGCAAAACGACAGGAGGAGAAGCTTAGCTCTAGAAAAGGGAAGGCATCAGAAAGAGTCATCATTCATGTCTATGTGTATGAGAGAACACAGATACTGCATGGTGGAACAGAAGCTGAGAGAGCTGGAGATGCTGGACATGAACAATGTGGAGTATGTATTAGACATTGAAGAGGTTCTTCACTACTATTCTAGACTCACTTGCCCTGCATATCTTGAAATTGTGGATAAGTTCTTCTTGGAAATGTACTCAGAGTTGTTTGGTCCATCTATGAGGCATGCTTCACCTTCCAGTGTTTCTAGGAACAACCTAAGATATCAGTGAGAAGTCTTATGTTTGTTTAGCTTTTGTCTTGTTTCATAACTTCTTGAGACCCTCTAAAGATCATTTGACGTTTTCTTGAGTTGATTCTATGTGTTTATTGACCTTCAATTTGGTGGATGGTATTAGCTGTTTGTGTTTTGTTTGTCTAAATAATTCAAAAACTTTATTTATTTTGCTCATTATTATATTTAATTGATCAAACCATTTCATTGACATCAGTTTATGATAATTGCTGAAAATTGCTGCGTTTTCCAAAATAGTAAATATTTTAAAGATGGTTTTCTGGGTTGTGTTTGTGGAGACTGAGATGGAAGATGAAAGAATGGAGTTCTTAAATCTGCTTTGTCTCAATATAGGAAAAAAACAAACTTAAGCCAATAGTGTTTTATTCATTCTATTTGATAGAATTTCTTTTTAATCCAAATCACATTAATTGGATTAGAATTAGGTTGGTTTTATTTGGATTATGATAAAAAAGATTAAATTAGTTTTTGGTATTTGTATTTTTTGTGAAATTTATTTTTGGTTTTATATTTTAAAACTCGAATAATTATAGTTTTCAAATTTTAAAATTGTGTGAATTTAATTTTATTTTTAATTTTGTAACAGTAAAAATTTGTCATTAAATGGCAGGTTTAGATATAAAAATAATTAATTTCACATATTCTATACGGATTTAGTCTTTTAAATATGGAGGAGTGATTTATAAATATAAGAAACATTTAGTACATATTAAGTTTAGATATAAAAACTACTAAAATTACATTTCCAAAACTATGGAGGAGTGATTTTTTTTTAATGTGAATGTATAAGACAAACAAGTTTTGAAATAAAATATCATATCTAGTTGCTATTTTTTTTATATCATTAGATTTTTCACTCAAAATATAATAAAAATTTACATAATTAACAACCAAGATCAATATATAATAAGATTAAGAAATGGAATGAAAAAGAAAGAAATACTCAAAAGAAAAACTTAAGTTTTAAAGTTTAAAATGAATTGGATGAACGTTAAAAAGATAAATATGAAAATTGAATCAATTAAAAGTAGTCTGGTTTCAAATTTGAAATAAAAGGAATTAATATTTTTTAATCATAACCAATTTTGAACTTCATCATTTTTAATAGTTTTTGAAGAATCAAGAGAGATATAATGGGGGTGTTGCTCCTTTCACCACCACCCCTTCTCCCTCCACCACTCCATTCATGTTTTATCTCTCTCTTTATTTTTTCATTTCTATTTTATCCTTAGTAAAATTTTAGTGTTAATATTTTTTAACCTCTACTCACTCCAATCATTTACATGTATGTAGCGGCAACTCTTCTTCCTCTTTATCGTTCGTCCCCTCATTATTTCATTGTACTTTTCTTCCTCTTCTTCACGTTCCACTTCTTCCTCTAATTCTTTAATTGTGATAGAATTGTGGTCTCAAAGTGTGGTCGACTTTCATTAGCTGGTATGCTTAGTGAGATATTGCAAGTGGTGGTGGAAGCAATTGATCAGCCGTGTCAAGATCGGTGTGTCGTGGTGCTTGAAGGATTATCGTGAAGGTGCGTAATAAACCCTAACAAAATAAACGTATAATCTTTAAATGGATGTGAGCATCCCTTAGCTTAACATCAGTTATCCGTTTTGCCTGATGTTGACATTCGTTGACGGATGCTCACATCGGTTTAAAGTTACATGTTTATTTCTCAGTTTATTTTTATTAGTTTATTTTTTTATATTAATTTTGGAGATATTTTAATAATGTAATTTATATGTTTTGATGTATTATTTTTTAATATATTTTTGATGTATTTTAATAATGTATTGTTGAAGATCTTTATTGTTATTAGTTTATATTTATATTTTTTTGTATTTTGCAGTTATATATAATTGGTTTTTTGTTTTAATGTTTTTGTATAATATATATTTTTTATATATGGTTTTTGTATTCTTTAACAATTTTATAATTATATAAAAAATTATTTATTAGTTTAATTATATGAAATATATAACTTTATTATATTAATATTTTTGTAATTAAAACAAACGGATGTGGTGGAGTTGGGGGGTGAAAATCTGAAAAGAGAGAGGAGAGTTGGGAGGTAGGGTTGAGTGAAAAGTAAAAATGGGTAGAAAGATAGAATTTGAATTTAAAGTAAATAAATAAGGTTAAAAGTAAAAAATTTTATTTTTGTAATTAAATTTTTTTGCAAAAGGTTGAGGAGGTAGAGAAAGAAGTGGTGGTGGTGGAGGGAGCTAACACCCGATATAATGTTAATGGAACATAAGTTCAACTCATATATAATTAAAAATTAAAAGGAATTAAAAAAATCCACAGATAATTTATATATGAGCCCATTCACGTGTATGAGTTGTTAATACAGGGGCATTTCTTCTTATACTCCCAAAATTCCAACTACAACCTCCATAAACTTTTTAAAATTTCCAATATACCCTTCTTGAATTAATTTTATTAAGCATTTTTAGCTGGTATGTATTTTATTCTGAATTAGGTATTTTTGAAAGTTTTCTTGATCATACAATTTAGAATTTATTTTAAAAATTTGTATATATTTGAGATTGTGTAGTTCGAAATATAATTTCAAACACGAAAATAAATTTGTGTAATCTAAAATGTGTAATCTTGTTAAAAAAATACATAATGGATTGAATAATCTAGAATATATTTTTCAATAAAATAATATATTTTAAATTTTACCATCTAAAATATATTTCTAAATTCAGAATTTTAATCTTGACATAATCAGAATGTATACAAATTTTGGAAACAAATTTCAAATTATACAATATAGAAAATTTCCAAAATAACCAATTTGGAAACATATACAAAAGTGATACCGAGAACAATTATGAAAACCAACCTCTTAAACCTACACGATGGGGCAATGAGTGTCCAAAATAATTTTTGGAATCGACAAAAGGGTTCCGATGTAGCAAGAAGAAGAATAAACTAGTCATTTCATCATCCCATGTGGGTGTACATTGCAATCATAGGCTGCAGGAAGAAATGGCTAGTTGTCAGTCAGACCCAATAATGAATCTTCCATGTTCTTCTTTCTATATAAAATTTGGGTACTTCTTTCTGCACCCAACAATTTCAACTTGCACCCCAATAAATTTTAAAATTTCTAATTTACCTTTCTGGAATTAAATTCATTAGGCATTGATTGATTGTGTTGGTGTTGAAGTGTGGTGTGCTTGTGCTTGGCGTTGGTGCTTGGTGGTGGTTGATGGTGCATTGAAGATTTTGGTATAAGTCATGTTCTCTAATTTAGGATTTTAAGTTTCAACTCCGACTTATGTAATTCGAAAATGTCTTAGATTATACAGTCTGAAACATTAAACATGAAAGTTGAATCTTGTCCAAAAAATGGTAGAGAAAAGGAAGTATAAAATTAAAGGTTTCCACCTAGCAAGCATATATGGTGGAGCCCATCTCCTACCCACTAGGATGAAGAAATTGAAAGGAAAGGCAAATAAGGAATGGTAGTGAGAAACATATCAATCATGTCCCATAAGATATATTGTTCTTATGTGCAACTACCTCCTTCTTCAAACAAGAAAGATTCTACAAGTATTCATTGATATTCCAAGAATATGGGGTCAATATCAGTAACAAAAGTAACTCCCCATGAGTTGGAGTCTCCCCCTTCAAATAAATAGGAGGCAATTGAGGAGCTAGACTTTTTCCATTGTCTCACTCAAATGGCTATCTTATGATAAAATCAAAGAGTTAGTAGTTAATTTAGGAGCATTATTCTATCTTAGATAGAATTGCCATCATTGCTCAGTTGACTTATTTGCTACCACATAGCAATGCTATCTAACTTTAAGGCATTAATGGAGCTTGCACCATCATGGTCACTTCCTTCTCATCCAATCAATCAAAGTTTCCCTAGTTACCTCAAGCACCCAAACAATATTACAATTCATGAAAAATTCAACACTTCATCAAATTTCTCAAGGATGCATAATATTGTTGACTAAGATATTGTTCACCTATTCCTATCACTATGTCATTATTTTCAATTATTCTTCACATCTAGCTTTGCATAAAAAAACAAACAAACTCAAGTATGATTAGAATTCAACAAAAATGAGATAATTTGAGGTATGACTTAACTTCAATGTACATTATGTGTGGAAACTATGTTTTCTTTTTATCAAACAACCATCTTCAACAACTCATAGAAGTTAGTAGAAAGATTAATTAAACAACAATCACTTATGTCTAATCAATGTGTACCAATGTTTTATTATGTTGCTTGAAAGTAAAACTCGTTTGTTGACTTTTGTAGATGAAGACATGTGGATCATAGGACCCTTGGTTGAGGAGTTGTCAATTCATATGCATGTTTTTTATTTGTTAGGAATAAGTTTGCTTCATTTTGTTTTGTTACATGCATAGATTGCTCCTTTATTTTATTTATACGTCCTTTTGTATTATGATTGAGCACCATGACAAATAGCCATGTTGTATAAGAAATATCCCTCCAGATGGATGAGTGCTAAAGATATTTCACAAAAAGTGGAAATGGAATGCAACATATTTGGTTTGGAATCCTCAGAAAATGTGAAGTGAAGAATGATGCAATGTAATGAAAAATTGCAAACAAATAAGATATTAGTGTGGCCACAATTGTGATAAAGATAGACCTCAAAATAAATTAACATTATAATCCTAATATGATAAAGATTATTATTTTAATTTAAAAAATAATTAAACTAAAAAACTATTATTTAAATAATAAAGTAATAAGAATTTAGATTAAATTGTAAGATTTTGAATTCACAAAAAGGAAGAATTCTTTTATATATTCCCAAAAGATGACAAATATGTATATAATGTATCATATGTGAATCAAATAAGTAGAAAATAATAAAAATAATAAAATTTTCTTTCAATATAGTTAATATATAATTTAAGAAAATATAATAGTGAATAAGGAAAAATAATAATTATATAAATATTACTTGTATTCAAGATGCATACCATACTAATAATTACATATGTATTGATTATCACAGTACAATAATAATTTGAACAATTATAGTGACAGTGACAGTAAGTAATGGTAAATGGTGTCAGTATTATCACGACAATTATAATAATAGTAATAAAAGTATTTATAAAAATAGTGATAATTATTATAATAAAAATATAGAGATTATGGTTAGCAATAATAATGAACAAGGATAATTACAACAAAAATACAAGAAATTATGATTAATAAAAATAATAAGCAATTATGATAATGACAATAAAAAAAATAAAATTAGGGTGAAGGTAGAAAAGCGAGGTATTATATCACATATACTTAATTGATTTTCACACATATTTCTGCTTAAGTAATAATTATATACAAATGCATTATAATATTCATTTGATTTTTGAATTAGACTATAACATTGGAAATGTGATAAAACATTCTTAATTTCCTCAATCAATAATATTATAATTATAATTGTTTGCAAGTTATCTCATCAACCATCAACTCCTTAAAAATACTTTTAAGAGAGATTTTGATTGACCATGATTGTTAATTACCATCAACAAACCAATTACATCTGCCTCTAATTTATATACGTCCAATATTTGTAACCTTGTGACATTGACTACAAAGAATCACGATAAGTTATGTATTCTAGTTTCTCAGAAATTTGAAAAGAGAGAAAGAAGAGCATAGGAGAGTCATAAACTTAAGGGAATTATTAGAGAAGATAGAGCTACTATTCCAAAAACAGTAAAATTAATGGATTATAAAATCTTAATTTGTCATTATCAAAAGGAAGTTGAACATATTCATAACGAATTTTTAAAAGATTTAGAGTATATAAGAGAAGATACAAATCAGATTTATCAAATAAATAGTTAACAAATCTAAATAAAAGACTAACATATTACCAATTTTCAATATAATTCTTAAAATAATAAATTTATACATCTTTTTATGTATATATTATTCATCTTACATATTTTTAAGGAAAAATTTCAATTTAGTTTGTAAAGAAGATAATTAAAAATTAGAACTTTTTACAAAAAATATAAGAAAGTGATATAATAATAATAATGAAAAAAAGAGATGCTAAGTGTTAAACTTGAAAATTATTCATTTTATTTTTTAATATATAATGTATGATTGATCATTCAAGTATAGAGAAAACTTATCAGATGATTAAAATTAACTAAACATTTAATTAATAATCACTAATTAGGTTTAAAGAAAATTAGATCGATCCTAATAAAAAAAATTATATATATAGTATTAATGATTTTAACAGAATGAATTTGAATTGATTTTAACATCAAAACACTTTTACTGAAGAAATTACTATAACATGAAAAATATCACATTAGAATGTACAAAGAAAAAATAATTGTAAGTGAACATTCAACACTAGATCCAAATTAACATCAAAACTCTCTATCTGCATATGCCGATCTTGACTTGTAAGTTGTAAGTTAACAATGAAGATGGTAAGCAAAAGGCATGTCTGACATATTTTCAAGTGACATGCTTTTGAATATGAGCTATCTCAGAGTTCTACGTACGCTTATTTTCCTCCATAAATAGTTTGGGCAAAATAGTTGTAACCACGCAAAGTCATACTCAGTGGTCATGCATTCCTTCGTCAAAACTAATGGCAAATGGTCCTAAATAAAGATATATATAGCACACTCATCAATCATATGGTTATTACAATTAATTTCTTTTGGACCACGTTTATTAAAGCCACTGAATATACACTAAATGTATGGCATGGATTCATGACCATGTGCACCACCATCCATTCTGCATACCTGCATTGTACAACATGAAAGCTGAGTTGGGTTTAAGTTTCTATGGTTTCACGTGCATTTTGGACCATATGTTAGTTCTTCACCCTTAATGCCATTGTTGACACTTTGAGCTCATGTACCTCCTAATAAATAACTATACTAACTCCTCCACACCTCTTAACCCTAAAATCTTATGACACCGTAATATTACACTAATACGAAATTTTAAACTTAATTTAATCCTACAAAATCAGTTTCTAAAATGAAATTAACATCGTATGTTGTTTTCACTCTTATAAAGATAAATTATATCAGCTACGTAGGTATCTTTCCTAACCAAAAGAAGAAACAAGTATAACCGACATCATAGGACTAAAATACGATGCATGCAGATCGCATCAGTAAAATATAACCTTAAATTCTCTAAACAAACTTGACAAAAAGGATGCAAATTTCATCTGTCATTGGTTGTCGTATGTATAAAACATTAACTAAGTACAGTCAAATATGTTTGTTTGTTTCATTCAAAGTATATATATATTTTCAGCATCAATCTGAAAAATGCTTTTGAGCTAAAAGTACATACACATAATGGTTGTCTTAATCTTCACTCCTGATGTTATAGCTGTTCCACCTTCATTACAATCAATACATTATTATGATCACTATCACAGTTATTGGAATAGATAGATTTGGACACTGCAAAATCAAATTCGATATCCTTTTCTGTGATCATGAGAGAAATTTTAAGCCATTTAGTCTGAAGTTGGTTGTCACTTTAATGCTCCGTATATGTGCAATCAAGCCTAGACAAATCAAAAGTTAGATATATCTTTTTCTAGTATGGAATCACATGTATCATTGATATATAAATATATGTATATATATATATTATAAAACCAGTTTAGTTGTGTTATGGTCTAACACGGAACAAATTTGAAAGGATTTGGTGGCTATTTTTGTCTTGATTTGGTGTCAACATATGATTATTGTGGATGATATATGATGCACTGCAACCCTAGAATTGTTAGTAAAGTGATGGTATGATCACTATATGCAATTTAAAAGGTTGTCTATATATAAGTTAAATATTGTTTATTTTATATATATATATATATATATATATATATATATATATATATATATATATATAAAAGCAAGTTAAACTCACAAATTCAAAGTTTAAGTTATTTGGTTATTATCATGGTATTTTGTTATCACAAACATAGTTTTCATGTTTTAATTGTTCATTTTTACATAACAATTCTTAAAATTCTTATTATTGAAGTGTAAAGATATTAAAAAAATTTAATGAATAAAAGTTTACTTTACATATAAACTTAATTAATTTACAAATATATTTAATTAACTTAGGTTATAATATAAATATTTAAAAAATACAGATACGAATGTACGATAACATTTATGTTTTTACTAATGTCTTTATATATTTAATCGAACATAAGATTGAAGGATAATTATGTTGAATATTATTGAAATCATAGAATATTTATGATAAATTAATTAAAGAAAGTTGAAAAGAAGATAAATGACTTTAATTATTTTTTTAAGAAAATAGAAAGTATAATAATATTTAAAGTCAGAATGTTGTGTATTTATGCAGGCTTTCAATAAATACAATTCATGTGTCCAAATGTAACCTGAATAAAATGATAACAAGCATGATAAAAAAAATAATGAAATGTAATAAAGATAAACATACAACTTATAAAAAAAAAAACTATATATCTGTTTTGTGATTAAGTAAAAATAATATGATTTAAAATGTCAGTTAAAAATAATTATATTATAAAAGATAAAATAAGAATATGAATTGTGTAAAAAAAATCATAGATATAGATTTATATATAATTATAGATATGCAATTAAAAAAGTAAATAATTCTTTTATAATGAATATATATTTGAATTCAAAAAATTGTTACTAAAATGATAAAAGTAAAAAATTATTTTTTGTCATGAATAATTATTTAAATTTAATAAGTAGTAATTAAAAAGATAAAATTAAAAAAAATGAGGTTAAAAAATATATTTTTATTATAGATTACTTTAAAAGCATCTAGATCATTTCCTAGTATTAGGATTAAAATCCACATGTTGATCCACTATAAAAAGTATAAAACATTTTGAAAAGGGTGAGAGTGATGAAATTTGACGAGTAACAAGACCCATCAACATTCAAAAGACATTAAAATGAAAATTAGGTATATATTCAATAGATCAAAAATCTCAGTATAAGATTTAACCAATGCCAAGTGTCCCATGAATTATAATTTGCTTTTATGTTTTGATTTCAAAGTTTAAGTGCAAGAGTCGACGGGGTTCAATCTTGAACCTTAGCCTGTGTTGGCATTGACAGAGATGAATGAAACTAAACCATGGAAGACATGTTGTGCATTTTCAACTTTGAAGAGCGAAGTGGTCCGTTTTGGTGATAACGATGGAAAGAAGATGAGCAATAAAGTAATTGATTTTAAGAGTAAAATAATGGGAAAAAAAAAGTAACCTGCATAAGTCGTGTATAAATAGATAATCAAAGGGCCACTTTCATCTTCATGGGAATTGGGACCTTTCCTTAGTCTAATGGACTTTTCTTTTTATGCTATTGGATTTTTCTCTTTTTTCAATGCCTTTTTTCAATCAGATTTTTATGCTCCTCTGCTCCAATCTAATTCATCCATATCATTATCATCACACAAATCATAGTTAAGTAAGCAACTATATAGCAAAGCCAAATGTATGAATACAACAACAACATTAATACATAGTTCCTACATAGGCTCAAAAAATTCCTCTAGTAGCTAATAGATGGTGCAATGTACAAGATATACAAATGTGTAATATGAAAATATTCATCAACTAGTTAATTTCAACCCATCCAACCAAGCTAAAAATACATACACATTTATGGGAATCACACATTCTATACACACATATATGCTCTCTCATTTTGAGTTTCTTTTCCACCCTTTTTCTTGCTCAAACTCCTTTTTCCCTTTTGAGGCTGCTGTACTCAAATGGGAGAGAAATTGTTTGGTACAATCCAATGTGTCAAATAAAAGGCACCACCAAGAGGCTACAGGCCATTCCTCTCTCTTTTTCTTTGCTTTTTCTAATCCTAAAACAGTTTTATCTTTCAATTCTCACATCATGCAAGTGGACAAGGATACTCCAAAACATGCGTGGCCTCAGCTTTCCAGCTATGTTCGATATCTTCTGCAATCCTCTTTGCATCAATTGATGCACCAAGCAGCCCACGTTTTGTGAATCCCACAGCATACAGTCCATTTTCACCTTTCCACCCATTTGGAAATGGCTTCCGGGGCAATCCATCTTTCTCGCTGAACATGTCACTCCCCTGCTCACAGTAAATTTCAACCCTAATCAGTATAATATTCCACTGATACTGTATATTTTTCAGAAATTTACATGCAGAAACTGTTGTTGATGCAAAGTTTTAGTGTGGTTATTATGAAAGTTTGCAAATTTATTAAGTTTGAAAGTGTTGTACATTGTTGGTGAAAAGATTGTTTACTGAATTCAAAGAAATGTAACTTTTTTATTAGACCAAATACCGTAAGTATACCAAAGTTAGCAACAAAGAAGTAAAGGAAGCACCTTTAACCAAGAGGGTACATTGCTTTTGTAACCAGTTGCCAGAATGATGGCATCAAAGTTCTCAACTTTTCCATCAACAAACTCCACCGCATTGCGTGCTAGTCGTTTTATTCCCCGGCAAACCTGTGCACATAATTGGACAAGATTTAATGTTGGAAACAATGAAACAAAAAAATGTCTTCTGTTTTTTCAGTTTTTCTTGTTTTTCCTTTGCCTCGGAGGAAAAAGCAAATTTGGTTGATTAAGACAAGGAAACGGGATAGGTATGATGAGAGGTCTTTTGGATTTGATTGGCAGAAGGATATATAGTGTTGTTGTTATGCCATGTTACCTTAATTTTTCCATTTTTTATCTGAGCCAGTGTCCCAACATCCAAAACTGGTGTCTTGCCGTACAAGCTCTTGAGCTCTAGAGGCCCGAGTTTGGGACGGCGAAGACCGAATTGAGCTGTGTCTCCGAGCATGAGATGTGACAGTAGAAGCAAAAACTGATCCACAAAACGCATGGGGAACCACTTGAGCAAGAACATTGATAAACCAAAAGTTGATTTCCCGAGCATCTGCTGTGGCAAGATGTGCACCTGCATCAATGAAAAGAAAAGAAAAGATCACATTAAAACTGAAAAAAAGTGGGGTGAAAAAGCTACATAGCTTAAGAAACTTTTTAGGAAATTGTAGACACGAGGAGGCTAATGACAATAATCTTTTCATGCTTCCAGTTGCGTCTGTGAACACTGACACGCAGTGGTTGTGTGCAGAGAAAAGATTGATCTCGAACTCAAAGGTCATATTATTCTAAGATTTTGGGATGCTGACCTTGTTGCGCATGCAATTACAATGAATGAAGTGAGAGGGAACAACGACACACTCTTTTTAGAATTCTAGTTATAGCAAATATAGTATAATATGTTATAGCAGACTGTGTTCACTCTCCATTTTCCACCTTTGTCATCAGAAATTCAGAATTGACAACCAAGGAGCCACTATGAAGATTTGGACGAGAATATTTATATATATATATAAATAACATATATATTTGTGTTGTTTGTTATTTCGATATATTTTTCTACATTTCATCTCAAACTATGATGTTTTTTTACTGTGATATCATTAGAAATGTAAGGGTGTTGGTACTAAACCATTAGTTAAGTGAGTGACTACATCAAGAAAGAGAATTTCTGAACAAAAAGTACCAAAACCCTTGAGCTTTGGAGTGTAGCATATAGAATTTCTCTATTTCAGTACACCAAACTCATTATTCTTTTACGCGTATAAACATTTCAATCATACTATGTGGAAGTTTTTGGCATGTTGCATATCATAAGTTTAAGTGCACGTTTAGTTTCCAAAACAAACAGTACTTTTTCGTTTGAAAAAAAAAAAGCAAATATTTGCAGAAGTGATTAAACTCACCGCGTCTCTAACAACTAGAGATGGACGAGCATTATGGTTGCAGAGATCAAGGCAAACCTCCATTCCTGAATTCCCACAGCCTACTACCAAAACATTCTTCCCACAGAACCTGCTTCCACTCTTGTACGAGCTGGTGTGCTGAATAGTCCCTTCAAATTCTGCCATCCCTTCAATCTGAGGCCTTACTTCCTCAGCACACTCTCCAGTAGCAACTATAAGCCATTGACAAAGATATTCTGCAGTCTCATCTCTCTTGTGTCGTGCTTGAGTCTTGACCCTCCAAAGCTTGCACACATGATCGAACTCAGCACTGACCACGTCCTGGCTGAAGGCAGGTTTTATGTCAAAGTGATCGGCGTAGAGCTTTAGGTAGGCCAAGAACTGCTGTTTGGTAGGATAGGAAGGTAAGGTTTTGGGGAATGGCATGAGAGGGAGCTGGCAGAATTGCTTTGGGAGATGAAGTCGGAGACGATCGTAAGTCCTGAACTGCCACATTGAAGCTAAGCATTCAGCTCTTTCAAGGATCAGGCTTGGAATACCTTTCTGTTTAAGACAAGCTGCTGCAGCTAGCCCTGAGGGACCAGCTCCCACTATTACTGGTCCCGGAACAAATATAGGGCTTGCCATTTTATTCATCTTTATCTGGTGATAACAATCGTGGGCACTTTTTCCTTCTAGTTCCTTCAAGTAGTCCATGAAGAACACCCAGAAAAAAAAAAAAAAGAAATTAAAGCTCGAGAGTTTCAAGGGTAGGATATGGATTATTTCAAGATTTTGGAGCCTATTATGGATTACGCCAAAGGCAAACCATCAAAACTCATTCACTTACCAACCCTTTTCTGCTAAAGAATTGAGTTGGTGAGATTCTGGCTATGTTTTGAGTAAGACTGGACTATGGAAATAGGGTATTATAAAGGTCTAATTTGCAGCAAACTGAAGATGAAAGTTTGAACTTTGGTTTTCTTTCAATGGAGGAGAAAGCGGGAAGCAAGAGACATGAAGCAACTCTACTTATGGACACCAAGAAAGTTGAGGAATAAAGGTAGTTTGTACTGGGGTAGTGGGTTAAATATATATATATATATATATATATATATATATATATATATATATATATATATATATATATATATATATATATATTATCAAATCATGAATTATTAAGCTATTTTCTAAACGTAAATTATTCTTTTATATCGAACAATATTATGTAAACTACTTCAAATAGTTCATTAAATGATATGTGAACTATTCGATGTAAACTATTACAGTCATATAAAAAACAAACAATTATAGAAGAATGAAAACAAAATAATTAAATAGCCGAAGACTACATTTGAACGACTGAGTAACAAATAAATCTAGGTATTTTTTTTTTCATTTTAAAAAAATTAATTTTTTGTATTAGAACTGATGAAAAAGTACAAATATATTAATGGTTGAGTGGTATTGATGATAATAAAGTTACAGAGATTATTTATTACATAGTCAAAATGTATTAAGTTATAAAGTTAGTGAATTATAAGAAAAAGGGTTTGGTTATGTGGGGAATGTTTAAGGTGGTAATAACTAACATTAACCGACAACGAACATGAACCTTTGATTCACTCCAAGAATGTTTTTCTTTTGAAAAAGGAAAACTGAGAAGGGAGAGAGAGCAAATATATTGTAGCTATAAAGACAAAGGCACTGAGAGAGATCCCATTGATGGTTTAGAATAGTACTTTGAACTAAATACATAAAAAGTGGACATGACACGTGGAAGGTCTCAGTCAATTCCAAGTATGATTTTTTGGGATGTTTGGTAGTTGGGTCCATATATAAACAGTAAAAAAAGTCCCTTCAATTAATTAAAGGGCTGTCACTGCTATATTAGTCTTGATGGACATTACCAAAGTTTTATTTTATGTTTATCATATATATATATGAAATCTTCATCAAAATTTTATCTATACTGTAAAATATTATTTTTACATATACAAATATTAAATGTTGTAGCTTATGTTGTTGTTTTTTTATTTTTCATTTATATTTTTCGTAATAAAGTTGTTGAAATTAATTATGTAGTGGGAGAGTGATTTGGTATTTTGTGAGATTGTGGTTGAAAGTTGCTTCTTTGTCTAAATACCTAGACAACAACAAAGACTTTTGGACTCAAACTTTTTCTCTCCTTATATTTCTTGTATACTCTTTAATTCAGCTTTTTATATATTCAAACATTAGCTCTATATACTCCAACTTGGCCTGGCTGAGTTATCGTGTACTTTTACTCTCCAACTTGAACTTTATTTGAAGCATGCTCTTTTCTTTTATGTACGAAGACAATAAGGTTTGATTATGCAAAAGAGCTGAATATTTTATATGATCATTAGGCTAACCCTAATGTTATTTTAAGTTTGAGTCTGAGATTATATTCATTTATCGTCTAAAAAAACAAAGGTTTACAACATTTTTGTGTCATATTCGTCTAGCTTTTGTATCCAATGTTATAATTCATTTTTCAACAAAATAGACATTTAGGGGGCAGATTTAGAGCATATTTAGCTTGAATTACGTTTCGTGGAAGAGGTTTAATTCCAAACAATAACACTAGTTTCCACTACATTCGAGGGGAAATTATAACTCTTAATTCTGGCATGTAAATGTTTGACTACCAAATACTAATATAAATTAACGTTTTAATAACGAATTTGAACTCAAAATTAGTTAAGACTGTGTTAAAAATAGATTACACAACCTGAATATTATTCAAATTTAAAATTTTGATATGTTTATTAAAGGATTAAATATGTTTTTTATTTTAAACTATTATAAAAAAATATGTTTCCTTTCTAAACTAAATTATAAAGTTTTTTTTTATATTTTATGAAAATGAAGTAAAATATCATTTTTAATAAACAATATGTGGAGTCTTTTTTACGTAACAATTTCACATTAAACTATAATATAACATTCACATATTGTTAATTGTGAATAATGTTTTACATAATTTTCTTAAGGACGAAATATTTTATAATTTAATACATTTTTTATAATAGTTTAAAAATAAAAAGTATATTTAATTATTTATTGAATTATCGAATGATCTCCATGATCATACCTTATCGATCATATTTATTTTTTAAATTTGGTTGAAAGAGTCGTACAAAAGAATAGAAAATGAAAAAGAAAACTTTGCAATGAGTTTTATGAATCTAAATTTGTTCTCAAATCTAGTTTTTATCTGAGTCAATTTTTGAGTTTTACGTAATTATATAGAGTTAAAATCTTGTGAAAGGAGAAAATATCTTTGCTAGTAAAGAGAGACATGGTAGATCACACTATCCTTCAATATTTCCATATTTGAATGGTTCTCAATTGCAAAAGGGAATATACCTTTCCTACTGAAACAATTCTTCTATGAAAGTAAACTATTCCCTACTAATTTTACGATGTAAAATGTGCATCAAACTCCACTATTCGACCAAGTTCATCATCACACTAAGTTGTCAAAGGAACAATATAAATGTGTCCCTATTCTTTCGGAGAATCTTTAAATTATCAGTTTACAATATTCTCTGTTTTATATTTAAACAGAAAAACAAAACAAAATAACTATGGTATCTTCCCTCATGTTCTTTCCTTCCATGAACAAAAGCCTTTTCAAGCGTGCACAAAAAAGCCTTTTGATGATTTCCTCAGGCTAGATTGTTTATATATAAGATCTCTTCCTTTTTCAACAAAGAAATCATAACTGCAAGACCTCATATCCAGTCAAATGACTCATATATGCCTGTAGCTTTATTTAAAGTTGCTATGCATAAACATAAATACACACATCTATATAAATAATAAATATTATTGCCTTGTTAATATATAAAAAAAAAAATGCCTACGTTAATTGGAAACAGCTCGAAAGGCAAATGAATTTCAGTACGTCTTCAATAAGACAATTCAGATTAGTTTAAAATAATTATATCACAATATCTCCAGTGTGCATGTGTTTGTATATATTAGTGGCTTCCACAAAAATGTATTGATCCAACAAATATAACATCTCACGTATGTGTTTCTCATATTTAACATAATTTACTGTTGAGACTCAGTTTATTTAATCTCTCAACTTTTAGCTAGTATTGTGTTTTTCATTGATATAAATAAAGAAAAACATTACTTTATAAATCAATTTTTTTACGTAAGATTGAATTAAGTTAAAAGTCCACTTCTAATATTAGAGTCATCTGAAGTCTATTTTAGTAAAATTAGTTATTTGTTGTACTTATTGTATTATCTGTTACTGAGAAATTTGTTGTTTGTTAAGTTAATCGTGCCACCTGTTATCGAATTATCTATTTATATTTAGTTTCACGTTTGATATATATTTACTTTGAACTGAAGAATGTGTGTTGGAGATTTATGTTAACTAGAAATATGACAAATTGATAGTATATAAGTGGATATAAATATCATCGTGAACTAATATTATAAAATTGAATTATACTTAAAGTATGAAAGCTTAAATTTTGTGTTTAACTCTTTTTGCCTAAGCTGAACGAAGACGTAAACATGATTCATGAACATATTGTGAATAATTACGTACACAAAAATTTGAAAGAATTGATTCCAAATATGAAACAAAACACACCCCACATTGGCATTAGTATCTGTCGGGGTGGCCCCTCAAAGATACATGTTTTTCTCTGCACTCCAGCTTTGAGGCAATGAGACTTGTTGGCTGCCCCTATTTTCCATTGAAAGAAGGTTTGATTGGATGTTTCATATATGTTACATGGTCAACTTATGAGTGTGTTAGAGACTTAGTAGAATGAATTGTCATATAGGTAATTACTACTTATGCACAGGTTATGGTGAGAAAGATTTTAGGCCATTGTTGGTGGACATCGTCACGTTTGAGTCTGACAAAGGGTTCTAGCTAGATCAACCCTCCTGGGTCCTTGTCATCCTTAGATCAACCCTAGTCCTTTCCTCCTCCTGTTCATTCCCTTTGCGATAGCATGATGCCATCTTCTATGTAATGCAATGCAACACTATAATCTCCTTCTTTAACTTCCACTTTCATTCTAATCTTATACTGTTCTGTGTATTATGCAGTTCTTGTTTCCAGAAACTGATTGCATGTTAATGGTAAGTGTTCAAGCTGAATTCAAAATCACATGTCAGTTAAAAATGAATAAGATGAATAATGCATAAATACAAAAAAAAAATTATGATTTTTAGCTAATGTTTTAATCTCTTGTATAAATTTATCATTACTGAATCATCTATGTCTCCCCTCTCATCAAAAGAACTTCACTCTGATATCAAAATCATGCTTTTTTTTCATGTGTAACATGTAAAAAATAAACAGAAACCGAAAGCTAAAACTGTACATGATGTTAAGACCATAATAAAATGTCATTAAATAGGTTTACGGCCCGTTGTCGGATAAAATAATCAGTGTACTGTCTCAGTCAACTCCGAAACAGCAAGGGATATTGCTTTAGGTTAAGGAGATGATATGTATATATATTATTAACGAATTAAAACATGCACATGTAAACAATACTTAAGGTTGTAATCAGTGAATTCCATTTTTGTTATTCTCAACCATGAACTAGAATCGACTTTTGCAACTGTATATTACTATATATGAACTGTTGTGAGCCGCCACTAATTATATTATAATGCCACACTAATGAAAAGCTACGCATTCATCTACTTGAGGGTTTAAAAAGGAAAAAGAAACCCTTCATTTTCTCAGGTAAAAGATCTAGGCATTTGATGTAGCCATGTGTGTCAGTGATATCCCTTTGCAGTATTTAAGGTTTGTTTAATTGTCACTAGTTTGAGGCATTTGTGTTTTGTTTACTTTGCAGCTATATAATATTAAAATGATCACATGATCCGTTGCACAGGAACTTAGAACGATAATAATTAACATGAAAAGAGCCTAACTTGAACCCCTATAGCCTTTACAAGTACTTAATGTGCTATTAGCTAACTCCTATTCATAGGTTGTTTTGTCGTTTAATAATGTTTTTTAAAACATCTCTTTGCATTAGTTCTTAATCAGAAAGGT